ATGTCAGCCGCAAATTCAATTAAACAAATAACATACAAAAATTGTATAGGAAGAATGGGAAAACACGTAAGCAAATTTCAGAGATTAAAAACGTAAAGAAAAGTTGATAAAGAAATAGAATGGCCAGTCATTTTGGTCAGGAAATTTACTGGGAAGTAAAAGCGATCGGTGCGACGTTCGTCACTCCACTAATAACATGCTGAATCACTATATGTATATACATATTTTAAAAAAAAAGGATGTCCCAAATGCCAGTACTCGAAGGCCTGAAAAACGCCTTTAAAAAATGATGATGATATGTGATGTTAAGGGATGAGCTGTGTATTTTCAACGATAGTTAATAACGGTCGAAGATATAGGGGAGAAAGAAATTATATCCTCACACAAATATTTGCCTTTATTGCCTGGGTTTGTCTCTTTTTTGTTGAGGGGTGGGGGGGGGGGGCGATGTAAGACAGGGTTGCGTAAATCCTTTCTGTGGCAGCATAGAAATATAAACTATGGACTATCTCACAGTCACTGTGGAAGAGAATGGGTGCTTTCGAACTGAAATGCTTTAGAAACATTTTCAGGATATCACGAACCAAGAAGACAAGTAAAACTGATATCCCAAAGGATCAGTACATCAAGAATGACTGACTCGTAAACAGTGTCTTGACTCAGAAACTAAAATACTTTATCCATATCCAACCCCGTAGTCGATTAGAAAGTACAATAGCAGATAGCATGGTATCTGGAAAGAGGGGCAGTGCTTGACCAACACGAAGATGAGAAGAGGACATAACAGACCCCTTGAGTAGAAAGTGCACGAGGAGAAAGATAATGCAGGGGACTGAGTTCAGGCTTGCAGTCATGAGAGCGACGTTCTGTAAAGGACAAGTTACATGATGATTGTGAGGATGGCAGAGGGTTGCAATTACGGATGGAAGGCAAAAGTGTGTTTGACCGATATGTTAACATTTCTAAGCGGTGTTATCTCTATTACGAACGTATACTAATGTTCTGAGAGTGTGTTCTCTCATATAACTACTTCTTAGTGCAAATTTACTTAACTTTATTTATTATTATAGTCCTTTCCAGTACCTTACTCCTGCAAGGACACGTCTCTACAGATACCCCTACTGTCCAAGCATGGATTCAGATTTGTCACATGACTTGCCATAAAGCTAAGTGATCGTATGAATTCCTATGTGTAATTGTATCATTGTCCGTTAAGGTTGTATGTTTATGAAACTTATTTTTTTTTTAGACGCACCGTTTTTTCGTCGTTCGTTATCGTTGTACTGTGAAGTTGACTATAGTTCTACTTCTTGTTTCTATAAACATTTTTTTTTTTAATGAACAACATTGAAGAACATGGTTCCACGTCCTCAGGCGTGATGGCTATATCGCACTAGAACAATTCTTTTTAATGACAATAGGTGAATGTTTTAATTAGTACCACTCCGGCCATCTTTTACTTCGTTGAACAATTCCCTGAACCTTCTTTTATAGTCCATGGCGTATGGCGTTGGTGGACACGATTATTCACAACCTTCTGTCTCCTGTACTTTAAATCATAGAAAATAGATAGTATCAACGTTCTTCTTCAACGAGAGCATCAGAACAGCGTTAGTAATAGGGGACTGGGTAACAGCTGTTTAATTTCTTTTCCAAAACCAAACATTTGAGGGTCGGCGATTTTAGAATTTTTACTCTGCAAAATATTTTTTCCAAGGAGCTTGAGAAGAGTATTGCTGCTCACCTGCAGGTGTTTTGGAAACGAAATTTGCGCTCATGGAGACGGAAGTGTATTTGTCAATGCTGACATTGGCGTCCAGGTCAATCTAGTCTCAAACTGGTACAATTTATTATCTTGAGAAGTCAATTTAGCTAGTTTGTTGTTTACGATATAACCCATGGGTGCCGATTGGTCTATAACAATATAGGCCGAGCACTACATGCCTGATGCTCCAAAAGCAGGAAAAAGGCCCTTAAATTATTTTACAACTTGATAAAACAGACACAGGCAAATTTTCTACAAGGAATGCGCATTAAATGGGGAATTATCGAGCTCCGTGCATCTTGTTTTATCCCTTCTTATGTCTGTCTTTCTCGTCAGACCGATGACCGCACGGATCTTAGGAAGTTTGAACTCAAAAGCCAAGCTAAGGTGATTGAAAACTAAAACATCGTCTAAAGGCGAGAGGCAAATGGTTTGGTCACTAAACCACTAACAGCCGTTAGAAGAGAAAAGCCCATCCCCTCCCCACCCCCTTTTTTCTATTAAACCTCATCAAGATAACCCCATCCCACAGCACAGCTTTATCCGGATATTTCTTAGTTACGTCCCTTGTCATAATCTGCGAACCATTTTCTTGTCCGAAACAAACTTCCGGCATGACAAGTTACTCGCAGATTTTCCAGTGAAGGCCTACTTCAATAGTATACCTCAACTAGAGTTATTTTGTATATTCGTGTTTGTAATTAGATCCTTGTTCGTTTATGTTACACTTGATTTAATTGACTGACTTCGAACGGGGTAGTGGAGGAAAGTTTCAATCTCCTTTACTCTACCTCATCTTGGTTTCGTGTGGTTTCAATGGAGATAACAGCAAAATATACACTTGTGGGATGCAATTTTCAGTTATTTTAAAAAATCCCACCCAGGCTTTTGCCGGGAGCCCTAAATATAGCCGGGCTTTAAATATGATCTAACGTCTGAACAGGGTTTACGGGACCTTTCCACTGGTGATCTTCATCCGCATGATGACACTTTGAGTCACCGGGTTTTTATCGCTTTGTGCGATGACCTGGTGGGGTAAATTAACTTACTTTCTTACAGTTATCGTTATCATCATCATCATGTGCCCTGCCAATATGCTTAGGTAGTCATGTTTCACCATTGCGCAGTATCACCAGATTCACGGGTCAGGTCTGTTGAACACTGTACAATCATTATTACCACTGAACACTGTACAATCATTATTACCACTGAACACTGTACAATCATTATTACCACTGAACACTGTACAATCATTATTACTACCGAACACTGTACAATCATTATTACCACTGAACACTGTACAATCATTATTACCACTGAACACTGTACAATCATTATTACCACTGAACACTGTACAATCATTATTACCACTGAACACTGTACAATCATTATTACCACTGAACACTGTACAATCATTATTACCACTGAACACTGTACAATCATTATTACCACTGAACACTGTAGAATCATTATTACCACTGAACACTGTACAATCATTATTACCACTGAACACTGTACAGTCATTATTACCACTGAACACTGTACAATCATTATTACTACTGAACACTGTACAGTCATTATTACCACTGAACACTGTACAATCATTATTACCACTGAACACTGTACAGTCATTATTACCACTGAACACTGTACAATCATTATTACCACTGAACACTGTACAATCATTATTACCACTGAACACTGTACAGTCATTATTACCACTGAACACTGTACAATCATTATTACCACTGAACACTGTACAATCATTATTACCACTGAACACTGTACAATCATTATTACCACTGAACACTGTACAATCATTATTACCACTGAACACTGTACAATCATTATTACCACTGAACACTGTACAATCAATCATTATTACCACTGGCACCTTGGGAAGGGTAGTTTGTCTCTTGGCAGTGACTATACTGATTGCCGTTATTATTCATTTAAAATATTATTCTTTGTTATTATTCACACCGGAGTATGATATTACACTAACGGTTTTTTGTGTGTGATGTTGTTGTTGTTGGTATTACACAAAGGGTTAATTGTTTTTGATTCGACATTAACAGCTGATTGTTTTGGATATTACATTGACGAAAAATTATTTGTGATATTACACTAACGGTTACAAATTTGTGATATTACACTAACGGTTACAAATTTGTGATATTACACTAACAGATGTTTGTTGTTTGTGAACGTTTTCACAGAAAACTTGCAGTACTTGCGTTCGATTTCTGCGGTGGACGGTTAATTTACAAAACAAGACCGTTCTCGTGGTTTTCGGATAACTGTACGAGAGTTACACCGAGGAAACAATAAGGGCATCACAAGGGAATATTCCTAAAGACAGCAGTAGATAAATTTAGTTAATTTGCATCGTGAAGACGGCACAGCAATGTCATTTAATGAGAAGAAACATTCCTATCAACAGGACTACTTTTTGAAAACCCGATGCTATTTTCGTCTTAATGCTTACCCTGTAGATATCCGAATTTGTGAGATACAAATGGAACAAATTCGTATCTGCGAGGTCATGGGTTGAGAACGAACTATCTTCTCGAGGTCATGGGTTGAGAACGAACTATCTTCTCGAGGTCATGGGTTGAGAACGAACTATCTTCTCGAGGTCATGGGTTGAGAAAGAACTATCTTCTCGAGGTCATGGGTTGAGAAACAACTATCTTCTCGAGGTCATGGGTTGAGAAAGAACTATCTTCACGAGGTCATGGGTTGAGAACGAACTATCTTCACGATTTCATGGGTTGAGAAAGAACTATCTTCACGAGGTCATGGTTTGAAGAACGAACTATCTTCACGAGGTCATGGGCTGAGAAAGAACCATCTTCATGGGGTCATGGGTTGAAAACAAACTGTCTTCATGAGGTCATGAGTTGAGAACGAACTATCTTCAAGAGGTCATGGGTTGAGAAAGAACTATCTTCCCAAGGTCATGGGTTGAGAAAGAACTATCTTCACGAGGTCATTCACTGAGAATGAACTATCTTTACGAGGTCATGGGTAAAAACGAACTATCTACGTGATAACATATGTTGAGAACAAACCATCTTCATGGGGTCTTTAGAATGAACTATCTTCATGAGGTCTTTAGAACGAACCATCTTCATGGGGGTTTTTAGAAAGAACCATCTTCATGAGGTCTTTACAAAGAACTATTTTCATGAGGTCTTTAGAACGAAACATCTTCATGGGGTCTTTAGAAAGAACCATCTTCATGAGGTCTTTAGAAAGAACTATCTTCATGACAAATAAATAGACACTTTGATCATGTAACCGAAATCGAAGTAGAGAGCGGTAAAGTAAAAACGTAGACTGAGACTGGCACAGACAGAAAGATGAACTAGCAGGCATTTAACAACAAAGATACAGAAAAGTAATAAAAACAGTTCGTCTTCTTCTCCTTCTTCGCTTTCACCGACTGTAAGCTCCTGGCGGAAAGTTCTGTTTGCCCACTTCAGTCTTGTTCCAGAACCTGAGTTGTGCGTGAACATTCATTTTACAGATCTGACTTATTTATGTGCAGAATGTTGGTTCCTTGCCTGTCAGGCTGATGCACTCCGACTCCCAACAACAACACACACACAAAAGCGTCCATTTAGCCCACTCTTACGCCTCTTGTTAGTGAGACTGTAAGTCTGTTTATGTTTTCTTCACATATGGACCCAGACTCCATGGGAGTAGGGGGGGGGGGGGGGGGAGGGGTGATATTATGTTCTAAAGTTAGAAAAATAGAAATATATCTCACAATAATTCAGTCATATCTAGGGACAAGCATTAAGCCAAAAATACACACTGACATGCATAAATAAAGGCAAGCAGATAGACAGACACAGGGACAGACTGACAGACGTACTCAAACACAAACAAGCCGATATAGACCGCGAGAGATAGACATAAAGAAAGATTAACAGAGAGGCAGAGAGACAGACCGATAAACAGTCATATATCTAGTCAGTGAGACAGACGTACAGATACACAGCGATGCAGACTGACATAACGAGAGACAGCCAGCTAGACGGACGGACAGATGGACATAGGGACAGGCAGACTGACAGCTAGACGGACGGAGGGACAGACAGGCAGACAGACAGGCGGGCGGACAGACGGATGGACGGACAGACAGACAGAGGGACAGACAGATTGTGTGACTGATATAATTGATTGATTGATTTAAAGCTTTTCGCTACCTGGCATATTTTTTCAGCTTCTCTTGATGCATCTTATAAAGCAGAACAAAGCAACACTCCCATCACTCGGGCTCTCAAAGGCAGCTGAGGACTCTGCGGTGGACCCCTATTGATCATTGCCAGTTCTTGCAAAGAGGGCAATCTTTAGAATAAAAGGAACATTATTTTGTATTACTAATTGTATCAATGTCAGAGTCATGGGTGATATCCTACTCTTCCTGTTCCTTACTTTCTCTTTGAACTCTTTAATTATCCAGGGAGATATAAGGTGATGCTTCTTGCTCTTCTGGTTTCCTGGGCCTTAGACAAATTGCGCTGACGTAGAGTGTATCCGATGTTATCTTTCCAGAAAGTTCTTGCTCTACCTCGTGATCTTCGTCAATCTCCTCTTTTGGTGAAATCCATGTATGGTATTGTGTCACATGACATTTCTTCTAAGTAAGCAAACCAATTGATTTACTGTCTTTGTATGTAATTGAGATCCGATTATGTGCCAGACTGATCTCTTATTACCTAATTTTAGTTGGATCTCTTCTCGTTACATAAGAGTGATGATGTTTTACTGATACATTAAAAAATGTGGCAACAGTATTACAAATAAATATAGTGCACAATGTGTTGCCCTCTGGCCTAAAGATAAAAAGGTTAGTTGCGTATCCTTTACAGGACGCTGCAGAACCAACCCCAAAAGCCCCTGGCTGTTGTGTGGTTTTTCTAGGCAAATTTATGTCCACTAGTTTGTCATTGCCTCTGGACGGTCAGCTCTCTTGATGCCACTGTCGAAACCAACGCAAAGCGCATGACCCGCAGCTGGGACCGAACACGGCATCCCGGCATTACGAAGCGTTCGATTTGACTTAGCCACACACAAAAAAAATCAAAAATGCTATGTTTATATCAATATTAGATTACAAGTGACAGACTTTGACATTAACCAAAAAGCACCAGAGCAAAATTGAACACTTGTGAATTAACATTTTGACAGAGGTTGAGGAAAAACCTAGAAAAGATTTCTTACGTGAATGAGTTAATGAGAGAACAATTTTATTCCGAGTCGGCCTCGTAGCTAAAGTCATTCTTTCTTTCTGTTGTCATCTCATTGATACCAGGTTGTAGACTAGTGGCAGGGTTTTCTGTGTTTGCACTTCTCGGGTGCTTAGGTGATGATTTGTTAAAGTTTTTTTTATTTTGTGTGCTTAGGTTTCAGTTACCCCGTTTATTTACCTCTTTCATGTCGTCTTACCTTTACCCTCCTCCCACATGTTCTGCAGGTAAAAACGTAACGCATCTGCAGTTTGGTCCCGCTGCATTCTAACTAGGTGGCCAAACCTTTTCATTCTTTGTCTGTCAATGTAATCCAGGCATGGTCTTATTCCAACTTTCTCTCTGATGCTGGTATTCGTAACCCTGTATCTTCTTGTGTTGTTAGTGACCCTGCGGAGATAGCTCATTTCACTAGAAGTTGTTTCCTTCTGTTTTGTAATAACTGAAAGACGGACAAGATTGATTAAACCATGATAAAACAACAGATGTAGATGTTTTGGTTTGATGTTAAAGTTATTTATGATTTCATATGATACTGTAATCTCCAATTTATGTTGTTCTTCTCTAACAATATACAGACTGCAATCATAAAGAAAGAAAATATGGACCTTCGAGCTGAAATGCTAAAGAAAGAATAGAAGAAGAAAAGACATACCAACATCGTGAAAGATTTAAATATCAAGGATGGTTGGCTCGTAAACAGCTCTTACCTCGAAAACTGAAATATCTTGACCATATCAAGTGCCACAGCGGACTGGAAGCAGTGATAGCAGAAGGCATGATACCAGGAAACAGTCACAACAGAAGGCATGATACCAGGTAACAGTGATAGCAGAAGGCATGATACCAGGAAACAGTGATAGCAGAAGGCATGATACCAGGAAACAGTGATAGCAGAAGGCATGATACCAGGAAACAGTGATAGCAGAAGGCATGATACCAGGAAACAGTGATAGCAGAAGGCATGATACCAGGAAACAGTCACAACAGAAGGCATGATACCAGGTAACAGTGATAGCAGAAGGCATGATACCAGGAAACAGTGATAGCAGAAGGCATGATACCAGGGAACAGTGAAAGCAGAAGACATGGTACCAGGAAACAATGAAAGCAGAAGGCAGTGTACCGGGAAAGAGAAGCAAAGGCAGACCAGCAGGAAAATGGGCACAGAATATAAGTAACACCTTGAGGAAGAAAATGGAAGAGAGAGAGAGCTACCTAGAGATGGAGTTTCTTTCAGGCAGTCTGTGATCAGAGCCATATTCTACAAAGGATCTGCTACACAATGAGGATGTGACCTGAAAATTAGCACGATGGAACTAGTGTCAATGAATTCACTGGACACAAGCAGCGGTTAGGAATCTCAGCTGAGGAGGGGTAAGCGAAAAAAAAAACACACACACACACACACACAGAGGATCAATCGAACAATCTAACCTTTCAGTCGAAGCCTTTATCAACGATAGAAACTACAAGAAGACAAGAAATTCTAAACACCAACGTCTGTGTGGTGAACTCAGGTGAAGATATCGTGCATTAAATGGCCTGTATTGCTAAATAAACTCTCGTTTTGAATATTCAGACATCCATTGCGTTTGTCTCATTGTTTACGAGTGAATCATCCGCGTACACGAGTGAAACATGAACACGCGAGTTTATGATACCAGCAGAAAAGCGAGCTTTTAATCAAGTTTTATCCCTGCTTTAGTGTCATATGCAGGTATTAGTGCAA